CTCTTAGAAGAAAACACAGGATAAAAGCTTCATATCATTACATTTGTCAATAATTTCTTAAATATGATACCAAAGGTGCAGGAAATAAAACATAGACAGTTGGAGCTCATGAAAATTAAAATCTTTTGTCCATCAAAGGATAAAATCACAAAGTAAGAAGACAACCTACAGAATGGTAGAAGATATTTGCAAATCACATATCTCATGAAAGGTTAATGTCCGGAATATGTAGAGAACTAAAACTCAAAAAGCACAAAAATCCAGTTCAAAGGTGAGTAAAAGACTTGAATTGACATTTCTCCAAAGAAGATATACAGATAGCAAATAAGCACATGAAAAGATGCTCAATATCACTAATTACAGGGAAATTCAAATCAAAACCACAATGAGATACCACTTCACACTCATTAGGATGGGTATTATTTTTAAAAATGGAAAATAAGTGTTGGTGAGGAAGGGACAAATTGGAACACTATGTACTGTTGGTGGGAATGTAGAATGGTACAACTGCCATGGAAAGCAGTATGGAAGTCCCTCAAAAATAGATAAGTAGAATGATTTAGCAATTGATCCAGAAATTCCACTTCTGGGTTTATACCCAAAAGCATGGAAAGCAGGATCTCACTACTCCTTCCAAATGGAAACTTTTATTGATTTTATTACTATTCTGTTCACTTAATTACCACTTTCAGTACTGTTGCTTGGGTTACAACAGTTTCATCTTCCTATGACCAGAGTCCACTCTACTAATTCATTCTCTGCCCTGCAGTCTGTCATTCCTACTTAAAACACTTTAGTGGTTCCACACTACCCTCAAAATACTCCAGACTTCTTATGTGGTGTCTTAGCTCAGCCTACCATAACAAAATACCACAGGCCTGGTGGCTTCAACAACAAGAGTTATTTCTCATCGGTCTGGAAGCTGGGAAGTCTGAGATCAAGGTGCCTGCCCATTAGACTCCCTGGTGGGGGGGTCCTTTTCCTGACTTGCAGATAGTCGGCTTACCATGTCCTCATGTGGCAGAGAGCGAGCGAGCTCTGGTCTCTCTTCTTCTTTTTATAAAGACCCTAATTCCATCATGGGGGCCCCACCCTCATGAACTCAACTGAACCTAATTACCTTCCAAAGGCCCAAACTCCAAATTCCATCACATTGGGTGTTAGGGCTTCCACATATGAATTTTGGGGGTACAAATATTCAGTCCATAATATGTGACTTCTCTAGCCTTTCAGGGCCCCTGTTTTTCTCTTCACGCCCATCTCTCTCACTGCTTCCCTTTAGTTCTGCAACCTAGCCATATTGACAGCTGGCAATACTTGATTGCCCCTAGCTCTTGCTTCTTTCTGGGCCTTTGTGTGTATGAGTCAGTCCCTCTTCCTAGAATGACTCACCTCTCCTTTGTTTGGATAACTCCTATCTGTCCTTTAGGTATCTTCTCCAAAGAAGCTCCCTGGCTCCTAAACCGGGTTAGGTATCCTTCATCTGTGTTCCTGCTCCTGAGTGCCTTGTGCATCTCTGTACAGTGGCTTTCATCATGCTGTATCATTTATTTGTCTCTTCTGCTCAACCATCCATCACCCCAGTGAACTCCCTGAATGCATCACTGGCCTCGTTCACCTCAACACCTAGTCAAATGTGTGGCTAACAACGTAGGTACTATGAATACTTTCATTGTATAGCACTCTGTAGTTTTTAAAGTGTCCTGACACAAATGAACTCATCTATAGAGGTATAATTATATTTCTGTACTTAACATCCATTCTTCCTGAATAAAATATTCCTTTAAAAATATTACTTTTACTGATAAGACTTCTATGAAGTCAGTAATCCACTATGTCACTAATGTGACTGAGTCAGGGGCTAGACTATCTCATTTTTCCTGATATACTAGAAGAGTTTGTGAGAAAGCAGATTTTTTTTTAACCCAGCGAGACCCCATGGGGCCTTCCTGGGACAGACCCCTCCTCTGTATCATCTGCTTTCAATCCTCTCTGAAGTACCTAGATAATATTACCTAATGATAGTATCTGATGCACATTTCTTGAGTTGTTTTATAGCTGTGGAAACCACCCCACAAAATGGAAGGAATTAACTACTTGATGAGCATGCTGCCCCCAGGCCTCCTGGTGCCTAAGGATTGATAATGTTAACACCAGTGACACAGCCCTGTTCCTCACCATCAGACAATCAGAGAATTGTGCACAAGCTGATCGCAGACCCTGGGATGCCCCTCCCTCACCTTGCCTTTCAAAATGCTCTGCTGAAGTCCACTGGGGAGGTTGAGCTTTTTGAGCACTAGCCGTTCGGGACTCGTTGATGGTACCTGCAATAAGTGCTGCGCTTTCCCTCACCGCAACCTGATGTCAGTACATCAGCTTTACTCCTCATGCAAGAGGATCCATTTGATTTGGTAAACCTTTTTTAAAAAATTGTTGTTAATGTTATTTACTTATTTTTGGCTGCACTAGGTCTTCATTCCTGCATGCCAGCTTTCTCTAGTTTTGTTGAGAAGGGACTGCTTACTCTAGTTGCAGTGCGCAGGCTTCTCATTGCAGTGGTTTTTCTTGTTGCCCTGAGCAAGGGCTTTAGGGAGCTTGCAGGCTCAGCAGTTGTGACACGTGGGCTTAGTTGCCCCAAAGCATGTGGAATCTTCACAGACCAGGGATTGAACCCATGTGCCCCACATTGGCAAGAGGATTCTTAACCGCTGGGCCATCAGGGACAGCCAAGTTCGCTAACCTTTTGAATGACTTGATGGAGGTAGGTGTCAGTGAGTGTGCAGTGAGGGAATGAGTGTGGGCCTCAGCTGATGATCTGACCTTGTGAGTCTTCATCCATGGCTTCCTGGTGGCAGAGATGGCGGGAAGTGGCTGGCAGGAGCTGTCTTTTTGTTCTTAAAATCACAGAACTTTATTCTGAGGTCACTTGGTTCCACTTCCGCCTTTAAGAAATGGGGAAAGAGATCTAGTATTTTGTCCAGAAAACCTTAGATGACCTCCCACCAGTCTTGTTTTCCCTCTCCCAGAAATCTGAAAGTCACTGGGTTTCTGATTCCAATCAAAACATCGCTCAGAAGCATTTATCCTGTTTCAGCAGCATCATCTAAATAGTATGCTCTGGCAGATGATGGGTAAATATTGCCAGATAGAAATTCATGGAAGGCACAGTCCTTGGCCTCTAGCAACTTACAAATCAAGAGCAAGTGTTTAAAAATGATTTGTATTTGCTGTCAAGTGAAAAGAAAAAGTTTTAAATGTGGTTTTTATTTGAAAGCCAAACCAGACAGTAAATCAAAATAATTTTTACTTTTTTGGTTTTGCTTGGACTTTCCAGTTTGTATATGTAAATGATCTCAAATTATGATTTAGATTGAGGAAAGTGCTGAAGGTAAGTGGATATTCATTTTTCCCCAGGATGCAGAGGAGTCAGAGTGGGGAGGGAGGGGTGACATCACTGAGCCCTTCCTGTGAGGTGCGGATTGTCCTTCCCACTTCTCTGGAGGACTCTATGATGCAAGGATTCCCCATGGTTAGGTTGCTAGTAACTGTGTGTGGGTGGGTGGGTGAGTGAGGTTGGGACCCAGTTCTGTTATCAGAGCCACATAAGCTGTTAAGAACCAGAAAAAGACTGATCTCCTGGATCCCAGTTATCAACATGAAATATACCCAGTTACATTTAGGAGAAGGTCATCTGGTTCAAGCCTGCCTTTTATAGATGGAGGAGCCAAACCCTTAAAATGCAGCGCAGCTGGCCTGCAGAAGCGCAGAAGGCAGTGTATGTGTGAGGGGCCAGGTATGGCCCTGCACTGCTGAACAGGATGCCTGAAGTGAGAAAGGGAAATTCCATCTAAGAAAGAGAAGGCAGAAAAGTGGCTGTTTTCATTCCCACACTCAAGGTGTGAATTCCTTTATTGAGTCATGATAATTTTCAAAAATTCTGAGTCCTGATACTTTAGACTCTCAGCCCAGCTTTTACCTCTTTGTCCCCAGACTCCACACCCTTCAAGGTGCCTCACAGTCCAGTGGGGGAGTGGGGGCTGCCTGGGAGTGGGGCTCCAGCAGCTGTACAACATTCTCTGTCACCCCTGGCCCCCTGAGGCCCTGGTTCCTTTGGTCTCACCTCTAGGCAACTGTGTCTTTCAAAAACTTCTTCCCTGGCACTTCCTTACTAATCAACAAAATCTTTTCCGAGGCATTGTCCTTTTATGCACACTTGTCCAGAGCTTTTGCTTTTATAATGTGCTTTTCTGCCCAGCTTCTCACTTGATCCTCATAAACACCCCAAGGGAGGTAGGAGGAAAGGGATTATTACTCCCATTTTACAGGAAAGGAGACTGAGGCTGCCCTCTTGGTTCTCCAGTGTCGTCAGCGAACATTTATGGGTCTCAGCCTCACACTGGCCCAGCCGTGCTCCTTTGACCCAGTTTCTAGGTTTTCTCTCTTTTGTTTTCTTTCTCACATCTCCCACAATCTCAATGGATTCTACACGCAGACACATAACAAATACAGCTGATGATCTGTGGCTAACTGAAGGCTGCAGTCAGAAGTCTTTGCGTTGCTTTGGTGGTGTCCCGCTAGACTCCTTAGCTGATTTCCAAGGGAAATGCGTGCCACTCTTGTTCCATGCTTGCAGTCTTTCCTGTTTATAATTCATCATCTAATCAGATTTTCCAGGGGATATAAGTATGCAAACTTCCGTTTTACCCAAATAGATCTGTTTTGGTTTATTTTTCCTTGCCTAAATGTTAGGCATCCAACCTGATGGATTTCACAAATTAATATAATTTATTTTCCATCTTGTCAGTGCAAAACAAAGGTGTTCTTAAGACAAAGCACTGAAGACCACAATCCTTCTTCCTCTTCTGTCTCTTGAGTCAGCATCAAGTAAATAGTTCCGTAAACAAACATGTGTGGGTCTGTGTCCCTGTGGCGTGGAACCACTGCTTTATTCCAACCTTAACTGGTTTTGTCCTAGTTAAATACTAAGTAGCCTTGTCTTATCAAAATGGAGAGTCTCGTAGCATCTGGACTTTCATCAAGGCCCGTTTCATCTGCTCGTAGCTGACGAACATCACCACATTCCAGGATCCCAAACGCAAAAAGGAGGGTGTAAATCTGATGAGAGAGACAACCACATGGTCAGGTGGGTGGACTGGAGTCCCGCAGAGATCCGTGTGCCCTCCCCGCTCGGCGCTGGTGCTGAACTTCTGTTAGTCACGAGCACTTCTGAGATGGTTCTGTCATTTTCTTCTCTACTGAAGGAATTTAGGCTGAAGTCAGAGTCAGGCAAGGAAAGAAAACTAGCACTTTGAGCCAGGTTACCGTATTAGGCAGTTAATTCTCACAGTTTTATCAGGTAGCTATGATTGCTGCTAGTTTCTCTTCAGAGACCAGGCTGAGATAGCTCCGTTGAAACCACCTGACTCCACTCCGCTGCTGAGTGTTTCTGGGTTCATTTACAACCTAAGCAGCCACCCCTGAGGAGGCCCCTGCCTCCAAGTGGAGGCATCGCAAGGCGAAAACAACTTGACGCCAATTTAGCTAATCTCCCAAGAGCCTGCCTGTCCTGTGACAGGGAGAGAATCCTCACCTCAGCTGTGGTTCACCCACTCAAGGAGGAGCCTGGCTCCTGCCTTCCTCTTCAGCCTGTCTCTCCACTAATCCCCTCCTGGTTCTCTCAGCTCGGTCAGACCCTTCCTCCCACACCTTTGCTCACGTTGCTCCTTCTGCTTGCTCCTCTCCTTGCCAGGCTGGTTGTTCTTGGCTCTGTGGACTTGGCTTGGGCACCAGAATCTCACACCAGGCCTCTCCTGAACCCTCAGCCTGGGCCCCTCACAGGGAGGATGTGGCACATGGGCAACACATGTGAACTCTGGGGATGGTCCTGAGTTCAACTCCCAGCTTGACCAGCTTCTTAATCTTTCTCAGCCTCAGTTTACTTACCTGTAACTGGAGGACATTGTCGAGAGGATTCAATGATGATGGACAGGGTTCGGTATTAGTAAGTCCTCAATAAATGTCCCCTGCTTGTTAGCTGCTCTTCAAAAGAAGCACAGCACGGGGCCCAGCACCCACGAAGTGCTCAGGGAATGTTTGCCAAGTGAAAGTACAAGCCGAGACAAGTGGGATGAAGAACCTTCTGATGGCGGCACTGATAGGAAAAGAACTGTCAGCTGAAGCTCAGTTTCGTGACATCATCTCGGGGTCAAGGACATGTGTGCTTGTTGGGCCTAATCCAACAGTGGGTGCCAAAAAACCATCCTCAATGGTGGAGGTACGAGGGCCAAGCAAAGAGCTCAGTGTGGGATGGAGTGGGTGGTGTCTAAAGGTCAGGGTTTGAGCCGTGGCTCTGCCGTTTAAACTTTGTGAGCTGGGACAAGTTCTGTGACCTTTCTGAGTCTCATTCTCCTCCTCAGTAAATGGGGAGAAATAGCCCAGTTCAGGGGGAGTGTGGAGATAATATATGTGAAGTGTTAACCCGAGTCCTCATGCTTAGTGACTTGGTGGTCATGGTGATTGTTCATAACTTTATTAAAGAGAGCTGATTTTGTGCTGGGGACTCTGGGAAGTGGAAGATGAATACAGTTGACCCATGAACAACACAGGTTTGAACTGTGTGGGTCCACTTATACAGTTTTTTTTAAATGTTAAATACTAATGATCTGAGATGGGTTGAATCTGGGTGTGGAACGAGGGATGTGCAGAAACCATGGCAACAGAGGAACCTCGTATATGGAGGGCTGACTGTAAGTTTTACATGTATTGATATTTTCAACTGCATTGGGTCCATGTCTGTAACCCTGGTATTTGTTCAAGGGTCAGCTGTATAAGCCAGTCTTTAGCTGCAAGGAAGTTGTACTGTAGCATGGGGGATCGTTTAAACTTACAAATACCATCCTCCAAAGTAGGAAGTGGTGGGTACCATAAAAATGGTATCAAGAAAGTACTGCTGAAGTTCACAGAGCGGGATAATTTGTACCTGAGAGTGTTACAGAGAAGGTGGTATTTTAACTAGTCTTGAAGGACAATAAGGTGTAGACGACGTGGATGGCACAGGAATGGCTTCCATGCAGAGGGAATTGTAAATGCCAAGAATATGTGAAGCACATAGTGCACACGGGCTGTCGGCAGTGGTGATCCGCAGTGAAGGCAGAGAGGGTCAGGGAAAAGCCTCAGGATTACCAAGCACCTTTCCCTCTTCCTCCCCTGCCTGTGTGTTTGGGGATGCACTTGGATCTATGCCTAGACCCCCCTTTTTTTCCCTCAGATAAGCCTCCCTGATCTTCAATTCAGATTTGGTCCCCTCTTTTCAAAAAAATATTTCCTTAGGTCTTTATATTGTAATTTTCCTTTGTGGCATTTACATCTGTGCTGTTCAACACTGCGTTTCTAGGTGAACCCACGGCAGACACACTCTACATGGAGGGGAGGAAGGGAAATGGGGAGGGAGGCCTGGTTCTCGAGGAGGGTGTGCTGGTGGCAGGAGGGGAGCTCACCCCTTGTAGAAGGCTGTGGGGCCCTCCTGGGTCAGCATCTTCAGCATACAGTTGAAGGGGCTGTGGTACTGGCCTGGGGGCGAGTTCATATACCGCGTCTTCACCACATCCACTGGGGAGGCCACCAGGGTGGCACAGAAGCCAGCTCCAAAGGCAGAGACAAAGTGGCAGGGGAAGTTGTCTGTCTCGGGGTGGGGAAGAGCAGATATTGGGCTGTGAGATGAAGGGCCTTTGTTTTCTGTTTCACGTGTGTTCATTGTTTGTCCCTAATGAAACTCAACTCCTTGAGTATGAGGTTAGTATAGTCCAGGGCTTGTGCTCAGTCATATCTGACTCTTTGTGAGCCCCTGGACAGTAGCCCACCAGGTTCCTCTGTCCATGGGATTTCCCCAGGCAAGAATACTGGAGTGGGTTCCATTTCCTCTTCCAGGGGATCTTCCTGACCCCGGGATAGAACCCGTATCTCCTGCATTGCAGGCGGATTCTTTACCATCTGAGTCACCAGGGAAGCCCAGTATGAGGATAGTGTTTTCCAAATCTCTTGCAGTGCCAAGGCGGAGCTCTTGATAAGGACTCACAAAACTGGGCTGTCCCAGAGCTGGAACTAGTCCAGCCCAACCACCTCATTAGAGGGAACTGGAGTCAGAGAAGGTGACCCTTGCTTGAAGGTGCACAGGAGTAATGGTGCTGGGCTGGAACCCAGGTCTCTGGCCTCTTGTCTGGGGTTCCTCCTTTCTCATCCTAATGATGTACTGGGCACCGTGCCTCCCTCCACTCCTTCTAAAGCTCAGTTGCCTGTGGGTGGTGCCCACTCTGTGGAGTCCCAGTCCCCTCCAGACTGTGGGAGGGCTATCTGCCTGGAGCCTAGGGCCTCACCGGTGAGCAGGTGGTAGTCTAGTAGCTTCTCCTTGATGATGTCATAGGTCACCATCTCACCACAGTTGACAATGGCATTCCTCGTGATGTTGGGCAGAATTCCTGTCAGGAAGGGGGTGGGGCTAATGAGTGGGAAATAGAAGAAGTGGACCCCCGGCTGCAAGGCCACAGGCCCAGTTGGGGGATACGGTGCCTCATTCCAGTGGTCAAAAGGAGCCCACCCTAGATGGGCAGATGCCGCACTTTCCTTTCTGATGTTAAAAACTCAGATTATCCATGTCCATCTTAGAGACTTGTGTGTGTTTGGGTCACATTTCAGAGGATAAACTGCAATATCCATCAAAATTAAAATATGCCTCCCTGAGACCTGGCTAGAGCCAGAAGAGGAAGCCTTTCTTTGGGAGAGGAATGGTAGGCTTTTGAAACAGTGACAGGGTGCAGCCATGGCAGAGCCCTTGGAGAGGGTTGAGACCACCCGCTGGTTTCACAGATGAGGGCTGGGCTCCGGGAAGGCACACAGCAAGTAAGGCTGTGACTCAGGTGTCCTGCCTTTAACCATCACTGGGTCATTGTTTTCTTTTCTTTTTTTTTTTTTTTTGGGGTCATTGTTTTCTTCTGCAAGATTCATGTGACCCCTGGCCACATGTGGGAGAGACAACATTATTTGTCAAGGTGGTCACCATTCAGACACTTAGGGAACCTTAAAGCCTTGTTCCCAAGGAAGCCCCCTCCTCACGACTGCTTCCCCCAGTGGCCTCTGCTTCTTCTCCATGCCCAGCAGTCACCCCTCATAGGCCACTGCTGGGGAGGCCCTTCTCTCCAGCTCCACACACCGGGAGCTCACGGGAACTTTGAGGCCCAGCTTTCACATCGCCTCTGCCTCCCAACGCCCCAAGCCCTCATGCCTGCACCTCTGTGTGAATCCAGCACATCTTGCCCTGTGGAATGGCTGCTCCCTGATATGGCCCCTCCCCTCTGTGACTGGGAGCTGTGAGGGTATCCTCTGTTCATTTCTGTCTCCCTCACAGCCCTGCATGTGGTGAAGGGTTGGTAAACTGAACTGAATTTGGGGCAGTATGGCAGGTCAGCTGGCACACTGGGATATGTTAGGATATTCCTTTAGAACTGCTGGAACAGTCCTGATGGGAGCTCCCCGCTTGCTCAGTTCCCTGTCCCAGCCCTCAGGTGGAGAAGACGCTGCCCAAGACCCCCAAGCCTGGAGCCCAGACCTACCTTTCCACAGGCCCCGAACCCCTTCCTCCCTGGCGATGGTCCTGTAGGCATCCATTGTCCCACTGTACTTCCTGATGCTCCCCGGCCCAGTATGCATGCTGGCCTGAAAGCGGATCTTCACCACGTCTGTGGGTTGGGCACAGGTCACTGCCATGGCCCCCGTGGTGCAGCCCGCCAAAATCCGGGTAATGATGTTGGAGTCTGGAGAGGAGGAGAGCAAGCGGGCCAGCATTGTACTACCCCACACCACTGCAGGCCTGATGCTGGTCTCTGGGGGCTGCCCCTGCCCCATGCCCACCTCTCCCAGGCCAGGGCTCCAGATCCTCCTTGACAGAGGCTCAGTCTCCTCATGAGCCTCTGTTACTAGCTTCCCATGCCCCAGCTCTGCCTCTGAGTCTGCACCGCCCTGATCTCCTGACCTACAGCCTAGATCCTGCTTTGACCCACCCCTCAGCACTCACGGTCTGATCCCTTGGGGGTGTAGAACTGCTTGACAGAGTCGTAGAGGCCGATGCGGATGGAGGCGAAGCTCATCTGGCGCTGCAGGCCGGCAACCAGCCCGCTGTAGAGGCTGCGGGGGCCCTCGGTGCGCACCATGGTGAGGATGGTGCCCAGCACCCCGCGGTACTGGGCACTCCGGGCCGCCTGGGCCGCCTGGTTCTCCCCCTGGATCTGAAGGACACCCCGCAGAGTATGAGGACTTGGGTGGGGGGTGGGCGGGGCTGTGTGCAGGGGGCCCTGCCTGGGGCTGGACCTTGGAACAAGCATAGTCACAGTGTCACATCTCAGTAAAAATGACAGTTCTGTGTAGCAGTTGCCAGCCCACAAACTGTTGTACATAGTGTGGTAAAATGGAGGGTGATGGTTTTTCTCGTTACAAGTTGTCTGTGACTTGCCTAAGCTTACACAGTAATTCCTTACTTCTCACTTTATGGCTTACAAATTAGGGCAAGGCCATATAAGGGCCCTGGCACATCCTGCCAAGGAATTAAGATCTTGGGTGATGGTGATGAGGGGATGGTGAGGTAGGGTTATGGATAGTGAGTGACCTGCTCAGGGTTCTCTGTGAGGAAGGGCAGGCGGGCAGACGCTGCAGGTGCCATGGTGGAGAACTCAGCCCCTCCATTGTTGGGAACAGTGATCCTTGGCCAAAGGGCACCTACCTGCAGGCGGACCTTGGCTGTGTCCAGTGGAAAGGTGAGGAGGTCAGCAAAGCAGGCCGCCGTGCCTGCCCCCAGGAACTTCACAGCCGTTGTGGGGGGCCTCTCTGAAGGTTTCAGTCCAACCATGGTCCCAGAGGCTCTGCCTGGTCCCTCCAGGACCAAGAAGAGGTCCAAGAAGAGAAACTGCTGCCCAGCCTTGGGCTTCAGTGCATGGAGGAAGCTGCAGAAGACAGGCCAGGGGAGGGCATGGGACCCGTGCCCTCCAGGCCCATCCCCAGGTTCCCCTCAGCATCAGGAGTGGGTTTGTAAGTGAAAAGCCTGAGCAGGGCTGTCTTAGCTCTGTGGATTTGACTTATAAGAACAGGTCGCTTTCCTCCCAAATCTCTTACCATCCTCACCCTGCCCTTTCCCTTCCCTGTTGGAAGTGGTTTTCATTGTATAAAGGCTCAGGCAGAGACAAACCTGGTTCTGACTCCACACCACAACCCTCTTGTCCTTCCCCAGCCTCAAGCTGCTTCCTGGGAAAGGCCTGCTCCCTGGTGTATAGTTGTTGTTTAGTCACTCAGTCGTGTCGGGCTCTTTGTGACCCCATGGACTGCAACACGCCAGGCCTCTCTGTCCTTCAACTATCTCCCAGAGTTTGTTCAAACTCATGTCTATCGAGTCGGTGATGCCATCCAACCATCTCATCCTCTGTCAACCCCTCTCCTCCTGCCTTCAATCTTTCCCAGCATCAGGGTCTTTTCCAATGAGTCGGCTCTTCACATCAGGTGGCCAAGTATTGGAGCTTCAGCATCAGTCTTTCCAATGGATATTCAAGGTTGATTTCCTTTAGGATTGACTGGTTTGATCTCCTTGCTGTCCAAGGGACTCTCAAGAGTCATCTCCAGCACCACAGTTCGAAAACATAAATTCTTCAGAGCTCAGCTTTCTTTATAGTCCAGCTCACACATCTGTACATGGCTACTGGAACAACTATAGCTTTGACTATATGGACCTTTGTAAGCAAAGTGGTGTCTCTATTTTTTAATATGCTGGTGCATGGAGAGCTCACCCAGCCTTATCACTTTAGGTCCTGCCATCCCAAATCAACATGGTAGGGGTGGGAGGAGAACCTGGGAAGGTGGGCAAGACTGCAGCACCTGGAGAAGTGGGAGGGGGCTCCAGGCGCAGGGAAGGGCATGCTCTGTGAGACAGTCCAGGGCAGGCTTAGAGGAGGAGGAGGGGATGGCTACGGGGCATGAGGCTCTGGGGGCGGAGTGCTACACACCGTCTACTCAATTCTTACAGCTTGGCTGCGGGGTAGCTTCTCTCCTCTCCCCGCTTTGGGCTCAGAGATGTTGGCCTGCTCAGGGTCACCAGTGTCAGAGCGCGGGTCGCTCTGCTCTCCTAGGCTTGAAACGGTGCTGGAAAGAGGGCAGGATGGTATTTCAATCTATTTTACAGGTGGGAAAAAGAGAGGCTTAAGATGGAGAGAGACTTCCTCAAATTCACAGAACTGCAGCCAGGGTCTTGTGGTGGCAGTAAGACCCCCTTCACTGTGCATTCCACTCAGCGGCCCCAGTGGATGTGGTAGAATGGATGTCCACCATCTTGCCTTTTTGTTGCGGGTATTCAAAGCCCTTTGAATTATATGCAACCCCACTCTCTGGGGACTTAAGTGCTAAGCATGTGCAACAACAGCTTGGTGAGGAGGTTTGGTGGGCACTGCTGTCCAGGCTGGCAGAGGAAGACAATGCGCCCGGGGAGGCCAAGACAGGTGCCTGTCAGTCAGGGCTTGGGATCCCCCTGCAGGGTTTGTCCCACAGCCTGTCTCTCTGCCTTTCTGTGTTGCTCCCTGAGGGGCTGATGTGGAGCTGAGTCTGGTTGAGGGGACAGCATGGCAGACCAGCCGAGGGAACACCGTCCTCCTTCCCATTCGCCTGACAGAAGCCCAGCAACTGCCAGGAGGCTTGGTCCCTTGTGGGGAGGCTCTGGCTCCTCTTTTGGGGTTGGAATGCATGTGTCTGAGTGAGTGCAGGAACAGCTCCCAGTGCCCACATCCCGTCAGCCTCTCTTCCCTCAGGCCCTGGCCTTTCCCCTGCCCATCTCCTCCTCTGACAGGAGCAGGGCTGCTCAGGGGTCTGAGGGCCTGACTCCCAGGGTGGAGAGGCCCCTGGGCGGTGTGTTCTCTAGTGTCTCTTATTGGTTGTACGAGTGTCCCTTTCCCAAAATGTTTGGTGGCCACCCAGGCTCCAGTAGAAGAACCCTGCCGAGTTAGGTAGTTTTACTCCGCTCTCAGAGTTAGGAACTGAGGAGCAGAGGTGGGACCCCCAGAGCCGTGTGGCTGCATGCTCCTTGCCCTTGGCCCCTGGTGTGGAGTGTTTGTGATGGGCTAGGCCCCACTGGGTGGCTTTGAGCACTTCATGAACTGTGCCTTCCGGGCGGGGTCTGTCTTCCTGGGGAGCCTGTGTCCCCAGCCAGGGGGCTGAACCATCTGATATGGCTTCCCTTCTGAACCTCCTTAGTCCTTGGCTGCCTCTGTCCCAGACCTTCTTTAGAATTGGCTCATTCCCCCCACCCCCGCCCCTTTGGCTGCATGGCATGTGGGATCTAAGTTCCCTGACCAGGGATTGAACCTGTGGCCTCTGCAGTGGAAGCATGGAATCTTAACCATCAGACAGTCAAGGAAGTCCCTAGAATTAGCTCATTAACTGCCGTGATTTCTCCCTGGATGGGGGCCCCAAAGCAAGGACAGGAGCTACTTATCCCACTTTTCTGTGCAGCCTGGTACCCGGATGCCCAGGGAGGACCGGAGGACCAAGCAACCCCACGGGCTGAGGTGGGGAAATGGGGAAGAAGCTGAGATGCCCACAGTGTTCTTTGATGGAGGGGCTCAAATGCCCTGGCTGTACTTAATCTAGCGAGAATGGGGGCTGGCTGGTGTTTTCAAGTTGATGGATGACACCATCAGACCTGTGTTCAGGTCAGGCTGGTGGAGGCGTCGGGGCTGAACAGGGAGGGAGCCAGTGGAGGCTCTGAGACCAGTGAGGTTGAAGGGATGGTGCACCAGAGGTGTTGGAGTCTGGCCTTGGTCAGGAGCAGCAGCCAGGAGGCAATCCGGAACCTGTTCCAGAGGCTGTCTTGAGCCCCCAGGGGGGCGGAGTGGATGGGCGTGGACTCAGGCGGTATGGGCTCTAGACTTTCAGTGGTCACGTTGGGGCAGGACAGGGGGAGGCCACCAGGGTGGGCAGAGGTAGGGATCCTGAGGCTGGTGCTCCCTGACCTCTTCCTTTATCCCAGCCTCCTGAAAAGGTACTTGGGAAGCCCTAGCGGCCAGGAGACTTATCCCACTGACATAGGTGAAGTGTAGAGCGGAAGTTCCTCCCCGTGCTCTGCTGGGGCATGAGGAACGGGGCATTCCCGCCTTGTACACCCAGAGTAGTGGTGCCCCGTTAACATCTGCTGAGCACTTCCCACACCAGACACTGCGCTGAGGGCTTTAGAGGCAGTGACTAATTCAACCCCTTTATAAGGCTACGAGATAGTTGCTATGATTGTCTGGGTCCAAGGGCCCCGAAGCTTTGAGGGCTCCAGCAAGTCACAAGGCTAGAGGGATGGAGAGGGATTAGAGCCCAGTCTGTCTGGCACCTGCTCCAGTCCCACCTCCCAGAGTCTCAGAGCGAGCTCAGGGTACCTGGAGTCCCTTGTTTACAGACTGGATTCTTGGCCCTCAGCCCAAGATTCAGGTCTGAGCCTGGGCCCTGGGAATCTGCATTAGAAACAAGTTCTCCGTGGTGGCTCTGGAGCAGGGATCAGAGTCCGTTCTGAGATGCCCTCGACCCCACCTTTGTGGCAAAGCCTCTCCTGCATGCCCGCTGAGTCGGGGAGCACCCCCTACTCAGGAGGGGGGCCCTCCTGGGGAAAGGGCTTTATGCTCTGGAGGAATTGTGGGGACTCTGGGCCAGACTAAGCAGAAAACCACATCTTATCTTTGGGGATTTGCAAAATCACAGCTGAGGCCGCCAGCAGAGCAAAAGGGAAGTTAGTCCTTGGTGAGTGACAGGAGTAGGGGGTGGAGTCCCAGCCCCAACAGTGCCCTCATCAGGGCTGCCTTTCCCTCATCCTGACTCAGTCTCTACCCGCTGTGTGCCACCAGCTCTGGCTGCCAGCTGCCTTTGGGGAGAACATGGAGAAGGAAGATGGGGTGGAGGGGGGTGGGGTCTTACCTGTAGGGGCAGCCAGGGTGGCGGAAGCATGGGGCCTCTTTAAGGCTCCTCAGGGCTCTGTCCCAGGAGGCGGCAGCAGGGATCTGATCGCCCCTTTGCCATTTGCTGGAGTCTCTGCAGCCTCTGGCTTGGCACCTGTCTTTATACACTCTGGCTGACCTGAAACCTTACCCTGGAGTAGCTACTTGACAACCTGGTCACTTGACCAGAGGCGGCTGGTGCAGGGCAGGGAGGCGAGGGGGGAGGTCAGTGTTCCAGACCTGCTTCAGTTCCCTTGACTTGAGCTTCTTTAAAACACCCATTCCAGTTGATGAAAGAAGAGCACCTTTGGGTGATGAGGGTGTATATGGGGTGGTGGGGGTTGGACTTGCCACTTGTGAGAGTCCAAAGGCCAAGGAGGCCATGACGGACTGGTCAGGGCTCCCCTGGGCCTCCTCTTAATAGGAACAATGGTGGTGCTAACTCATTTCTTGGTGCCTACTATGTGCTAGAAACTTTACATACATTTTTTCTTTCCCAACTCTTACAAGGTAGGTACAATTAGGAGTCTTTTTTTTCAAAGCTTTATTGGAATATAATTCCCATGCAATTTACCTGTTTAACTGGTACAATTCAGTGGTTTTTAGTGTATTCACAGTTATGCAGCCATCAGTCATCGCAATTTTAGAACATTTTCGTTACCTCCCTCCCCACACATCTCCGTACACATCAACAGTGTCACTTGTTTTCCCTTCCCTCCAACCCAGGATTCTGCCCAGGCAATCATTAATCTACTTTGTCTCTATAGATTTGCTTATCCTGAACATTTTATACAAATAGAATCACACAAAATGTGACCTTTTGTGACTGGCTTCTTTTACTTACCATAGTGTTTTCCGAGTTCATCCTTGTTGGATCATGTGTCAGCACTTCATGCCT